TGTCCCCAGCTGTCCCCAGCTGTCCCCAGGTGTCCCCAGGTGTCCCCAGGCTCACCCAGGTGTGTCCCCAGGTGTCCCCAGGTGTGTCCCCAGGTGTCCCCAGGCTCACCCAGGTGTCCCCGTGCCCGCAGGTGATCGGCAGCAGCCCGCAGATGAGCGGCATGGCGGCGCTGGCGGCGGCGGCCGCGGCCACCCAGAAGATTCCGCCGGCGTCGGCGCCCACCGTGCTCAGCGTCCCCGCGGGGGCCACCATCGTCAAAACGGTGGCCGTCACCCCCGGGGCCACCACCCTGCCCGCCACCGTCAAGGTGGCCTCGTCACCTGTCATGGTACGGGGACACCCGGGGGCTGGGGGCGGTGGCATTGTCACTCAGGTGTCACCTTGGTGTCACCCAGGGGTTGGGGGCGGTGGCATTGTCACTTTGGTGTCACTCTGGTGTCACCCGGGGGTTGGGGGCGGTGGCATTGTCACTTGGGTGTCACTCAGGTGTCACCTTGGTGTCACCCGGGGGTTGGGGGCGGTGGCATTGTCACTTGGGTGTCACTCAGGTGTCACCTTGGTGTCACCCAGGGGTTGGGGGCGGTGGCATTGTCACTTGGGTGTCACCTTGGTGTCACCATGGTGTCACCCAGGGGTCGGGGTGGCACTGGTGTGGTGGTGGCACTGTCGCTGTGGTGTCACCCAGGGGCTGGGGTGGCACGGAGGGGCTGGGGGTGGTGGTGGCATTGTCACTTGAGTGTCACCGTGGTGTCACCGAGGCCTTGGAGGGGCTGGGGTGACGCTGGGAGGCTCGAGGTGACACTGGGGTGACAGCGAGAGTCTTAGGGTGACACCGGGGGTCTCAAGGTGACCCTGGGGTGACACCAGGGGTCTCAAGGTGACCCCAAGAATCTCAAGGTGACCTTGAGGTGCCGCCATCACCCTCACGAGTGTCCTCCCCGTGTCCCCCCCATGTCCCCCGGTGTCCCCCCAATGTCCCCTGGTGTCCCCCCAATGTCACCCTCATGTCCCCTGGTGTCCCCCCATGTCCCCTGGTGTCCCCCCATATCCCCTCATGTCCCCCCCATGTCCCCTGGTGTCCCCCCATATCCCCTCATGTCCCCCCCATGTCCCCTGGTGTCCCCCCATATCCCCTCATGTCCCCCCCATGTCCCCTGGTGTCCCCCCATATCCCCTCATGTCCCCCCCATGTCCCCTGGTGTCCCCCCATATCCCCTCATGTCCCCCCCATGTCCCCTGGTGTCCCCCCATATCCCCTCATGTCCCCCCCATGTCCCCTGGTGTCCCCCCATATCCCCTCATGTCCCCCCCATGTCCCCTGGTGTCCCCCCATATCCCCTCATGTCCCCCCCATGTCCCCTGGTGTCCCCCCATATCCCCTCATGTCCCCCCCATGTCCCCTGGTGTCCCCCCATATCCCCTCATGTCCCCCCCATGTCCCCTGGTGTCCCCCCATATCCCCTCATGTCCCCCCCATGTCCCCTGGTGTCCCCCCATATCCCCTCATGTCCCCCCCATGTCCCCTGGTGTCCCCCCATATCCCCTCATGTCCCCCCCATGTCCCCTGGTGTCCCCCCATATCCCCTCATGTCCCCCCCATGTCCCCTGGTGTCCCCCCATATCCCCTCATGTCCCCCCCATGTCCCCTGGTGTCCCCCCATATCCCCCCCGTGCCCCCCCATGTCCCCTCATGTCCCCCGTGTCCCCCCCCATGTCCCCCCCGTGTCCCCCCCATGTCCCCCCGGTGTCCCCCCCGGTGTCCCCACCCCAGGTGAGCAACCCGGCCACGCGGATGCTGAAGACGGCGGCCGCCCAGGTGGGCACGGCCGGGGGGTCCCCTGCGGCCACCAATGCGGCCACCAGGCCGATCATCACGGTGCACAAGTCGGGCACGGTGACGGTGGCCCAGCAGGCCCAGGTGGTCACCACCGTGGTCGGAGGGGTCACCAAAACCATCACCCTGGTCAAGAGCCCCATCTCGGTGCCGGGGGGCAGCGCCCTGGTGAGGGGGGGACCCCGGTTTGGGGGGTCTTGGGGCTGGGGGATCCCGGTTTGGGGATTTGGGGCTGGGGGACCCCGGTTTGGGGGGTCTTGGGGCTGGGGGACCCCGGTTTGGGGATTTGGGGCTGGGGGACCCCGGTTTGGGGGGTCTTGAGGTGAGGGGGGGACCCCGGTTTGGGGATTTGGGGCTGGGGGACCCCGGTTTGGGGGGTCTTGAGGTGAGGGGGGGACCCCGGTTTGGGGATTTGGGGCTGGGGGACCCCGGTTTGGGGGGTCTTGAGGTGAGGGGGGGACCCCGGTTTGGGGATTTGGGGCTGGGGGACCCCGGTTTGGGGGGTCTTGAGGTGAGGGGGGGACCCCGGTTTGGGGATTTGGGGCTGGGGGACCCCGGTTTGGGGGGTCTTGAGGTGAGGGGGGGACCCCGGTTTGGGGATTTGGGGCTGGGGGACCCCGGTTTGGGGGGTCTTGAGGTGAGGGGGGGACCCCGGTTTGGGGATTTGGGGCTGGGGGACCCCGGTTTGGGGGGTCTTGAGGTGAGGGGGGGACCCCGGTTTGGGGATTTGGGGCTGGGGGACCCCGGTTTGGGGGGTCTTGAGGTGAGGGGGGGACCCCGGTTTGGGGATTTGGGGCTGGGGGACCCCGGTTTGGGGGGTCTTGAGGTGAGGGGGGGACCCCGGTTTGGGGATTTGGGGCTGGGGGACCCCGGTTTGGGGATTTGGGGCTGGGGGACCCCGGTTTGGGGATTTGGGGCTGGGGGACCCCGGTTTGGGGATTTGGGGCTGGGGGACCCCGGTTTGGGGATTTGGGGCTGGGGGACCCCGGTTTGGGGATTTGGGGCTGGGGGACCCCGGTTTGGGGATTTGGGGCTGGGGGACCCCGGTTTGGGGATTTGGGGCTGGGGGACCCCGGTTTGGGGATTTGGGGCTGGGGGACCCCGGTTTGGGGATTTGGGGCTGGGGGACCCCGGTTTGGGGATTTGGGGCTGGGGGACCCCGGTTTGGGGATTTGGGGCTGGGGGACCCCGGTTTGGGGGGTCTTGGGGTGAGGGGGACCCCGGTTTGAGGATTTGGGGTGTGGGGGGACCCCAGTTTGGGGTCTTGGGGTGTGGGGACCCCAATTTGGGGGTGGGGACACGGGGTTGGGGGAGTTGGGGTGAGTGGGACCCAAATTTGGGGAGTCTTGGGGTGGGGGGGACCCCGGTTTGGGGGTGGGGGGGGGATGTTGGGAGGGTGGGGGGTCCAGATTTGGGGGGTCTTGGAATGGGGGGGGGCACAGATTTGGGGGGGTCCTGGGGGGCTCTGGGTGCAGGGACACCCAAATTTGGGGGTCCCGGGGGCTTTCAAACCCCTCAAAGGTCAGGATTTGGGGGTTCCCTTTTTTGGGGAGGGGTCTCTGAGCCCCCCCATGGCCCCCCCAGATCTCCAACCTGGGCAAGGTGATGTCGGTGGTGCAGACGAAACCGGTGCAGAGCTCGGCCGTCACCGGACAGGCCTCGAGCGGCCCCGTCACCCAAATCATCCAGGTGACCCCTCCCCAAATCCCTGAGACCCCTCCCCAAATCCCTGAGAACCCCCTCAAATCACAGAGACCCCTCCCCAAATCACAGAGACCCCCTAAAATCCCTGAGAACCCCCCAAAATCCCCCCCTCGGCCGTCACCCGACAGGCCTCGAGCGGCCCCGTCGCCCAAATCGTCCCCGAGACCCCTCCCCAAATCCATGAGACCCCTCCCCAAATCACACAGACCCCTCCCCAAATCCCTGGGACCCCTCCCCAAATCACAGAGACCCCTCCCCAAATCACAGG